TTATTCTATTATGTGAAACACAATGCAATTTGAAATATTTATCAGTCATGCAACCTAATCTTCTTACTTAATAATAAGATATTATATTGTTAGACACTCTTGGAGCATGTCTGGGTACCAAAGTGATCAGGTCTTGGAAAACATTTTTATTTTGCATGTTAAATTTTTTTTGAATAAGTGTAGGCACTGATGACAACTCTCAGTGTTGACATCAGAGACCACACTTCTAATATTTGACCACTTTCATTCTATCAATATAGCATATATATATGCATATAAGATAGACAAATAGAAGTTATTAATTAATTTTTCAATCTGTCATTATTTCTTATTACTCATATATATTTAGTATGTATGTGTGTTAAAATAGACATCCTTATTTTTTAAAACAGTAAAGTTAATGTCTCCTGACCTCGAGTGTGTGTATATATATATATATATATATATATGAAGAAATATAGTTTTAAGGTGTGTTATATTTATGGAATAAAGTACTCAATATCAGGGCTAGAGCGTATGTAAATATAAAAGTGAACATTGAAACTGTATATATATCTGAGTGTTGACTTCAATGTTCACTCATATATATATATATATATATATTAGTTCTTATTACTATTATATATACCTTGTCGTCAGCTTTATCTCATATCCAAGAATTTAATTTCTTCTTTGGTGATTGTTTCTTTTATGATGATGGCGTTGATGACTAAATTTACCAACAACATGCCAATTCAGGAATAGAAGTTTCCAGTTTCACCAAAACCAGCTCCTGTCATCCATTCCCTATCACTGTTTGACCTTGCAAGAGTTGGTTGAAGGTGAAAATCAGAGTAGAAGAAAGTGCTGATGGTATGAATTTGTTTAAGGTGGACTTCAACTTGCCAGATAGTGAACCACATACTTGATTTCATGACCTTCATCTTCAGCATATGTGGAATTATTTATATATATATATATATATATATATATATGTGTGTGTGTGTGTGTAATAATATAATAGCCACTTGTATTCAAGGATACCTGTCTATTAGAGTGGTTAGCCAATCCCTATTGCAGACGCTTGCTCAGACACAATTGTTGTTTATTCATCACACACAGAGCGCACCTGTGGTTTATACTATGCTAAGCAGACAATAGTTACAGTTTCTGGGAGAGAGCATATTATCCAACGTATCAACATATATATATATATATATATATATATATATATATATATATATATATATATATATATATATATATATATAATCAGTACTTTAAAGAATGTTCAAATACTTATCACGGTTTGGCTTCAAAGTTATGTGGACATGCTGCACATCAGAAGCAGATAAAATTATTGTATTATTAGCAGATCCTAAATTTATATAGTACATTAGGAATGGTAATCACACACACACTAAATAAATCCTCCAATATGAAATTTGCTAAACTATAAAAAAATTGTGAATCATGTGACAACATTCCATTACTCAAAATTACCAAATGATAATGTTAAACTTAAACATTTGATATCTGTCTATATTTCTGAAATGAGGTATTATTTACACTATTTACATTATTTGGACTATTGTCCTCATTCTGATTCATAAACTTAAGGAATCAGCACATATGCTAGGTCATAAAAATCTCCTGAGCCGACCAATCATAGAAATGAATACAATGTGAGAACCAGTAATAAGGAGTGCCAGAGAAAAGCGATAATAACAACAAAAATTGCAATATGAGCTCTGGTAAAAACATACAATGATAACAGCAAAAAATTGCAAAATGAGAATTGGTGAAAAATGGTTGCTGAGACATTAGGTTTATAATACCTAGAAATTCATACACAGATGTCCTCAAGGACACATGGCAGATGGATAAAGGCGTTGGTTAGATCCAGTGACAGGACCCAAAAAGTGTGAGTTTAATACCTGGTAAAGGCAGTGGAGAACTTGGAGAGGGTAATTAACAGGAGATAACTGATAACTGAGATCCATTAAAAACATGGCATGTTTAACTAGAACAGTCTACTCCAGTGAGCAAAATAAAGGGTTCAGTTCGACATTCCAACCACCTGAAGAAGGTCGGAGCATACAACGGCCGAAATGTTGTAATAAATATGGCAACAAAGATGAGGACAATAGTCCGAATAATGTAAATAGTTTAAACATTTGAGTGTTTATTCTTCATGACTATTGTCACTCAAATTATCTCCTGAGCAATTTCTTTACAACATTCCACTGACTTTGATTCAAACAGAATTCTTTAATTTTAGGGAGGTAGAAAATATTATGTATAAATGTATGTATGATGCTAATATTATGTATGTATATGTGGATGGATATATATTATATATGTATGTATTTATGATGATATGTATGTATGTATGTATGTATGATGATATGTATGTATGTATGATGATATGTACATATGATGATGAATAATAGTATATGACTTGATGATTTGATATTAAAATCATTTTTACAAGACTGCCATCTTTTTAATTGCACATCGGTGAATTAGTTATCAACTTGTAAACAAATGTGGGCTCAAAGGTGTCTCTCTCACTCTCTCTCTCTCTATATATATATGTGTGTGTGTGTGTGTGTGCACACAAAATTTCAGATATAAAAAAAAAATACACTTAAATATAAAAATTTAAAATATAAAAGTTCAGATATCAATAGAAAAATATAAAAGTCAGATAAATAAAAAAAATATCATTTGCCTTGATAAAGTTCATCAGATTGACGTAACATCTTGGCAAAGAATAGTTTTCCTTTTGTCTATATTATGTTATTATAGTGGACACTTCTTATTTTAAATAGACGTTCCACATTTCCATGGAAAGTGTTCAGACGAGCTGCATTCCTTAGTTGCACTAATCCTAATTTTTACGGCTAAAACCCACCATGCCACACTCATTGTAGCAAACCACCCACATTATCTTCGTATTCCATTGGTGAGACCTAAGTTCTCCTTGAGCAGCTTCTTCCAACAGACTGCTGCTTTGTAGAACCAAGTCCCAAGTGGATGCTTACCTGATCACTAGAATCTTAACCTGTTCAAGTCTAGGATTAACTGTTATCTTTTCCACATATCTTCATAAACTGTGCCTCTTACTCTGTAACCCTCTACCTTGGATGGCGCACGAGCCTTGTACATGGTGAACATCAATGTAAAGAAAAAATTATAAACCATTTCAAATTTGAAGTGTCTAATAATAATAATGTTTGAAGTAATAAAAATGTCGGATTAACAATAAATCCATTAAATCTTTACATCCCGGTGTTTAAAATACACGACAGTAAAGCATTTTTTTAAAATATTTTCCTTTGAAATAGTAATGGGAGTTGTCTTACATGCAATCTAATAATCATCTGTTTGTTTAATTTTTTTAAATTTATTTTTGGGGTGGCTGTGGTTTAAAATCGTTTCAATAAAATTCTTTGAAATGTTTTCCTTTTTTTATTTCTTATTAAAAATGACCCTTTTTTTTTCTTTATTCTTTTTAACAGATATCAACCTTAGTGCAACCAAAAGTTTTTTTTTATTTGCCGTAATTCCCCATGTATTTTACGCAGTTTTTCTAAAAAAAAAAAAAATGAAAAAAAGTGTTCCATAAAAAAAAAAAAAAAAAAAAAAAATTCAGTTGCGTAAAATGACGACTCACCACAAACATACGATTTTTTTTGACCTTAACATTCGGCGATTTAACTTTTAAGAAAAGGATGTCAAATACGATCATATGTACCTAACAATACTTACAAATGTAAAATAAAATAAGATTAAGAAAACGTTGGTCGTAATGAAATTAGAGAAGAGAAATATAGGGTTTGATTTCCAAATAAGTCGTGCGTATTATGCGTGAGTAGAAGCATTTTCCCCACACTTTGACCACAATTTTAGAGGTGAGTATTATGGATGAAGGCGTATTATACATAGGGAAATACGCTAATACCATGGTGTCTAGTGATGCTGATGTAAATTGTAAATAATTTTGGAAAAAAAAAAATAACGAAGTTGGAGATCGCAAGAAAAAAGAAATTATTCAAACAGCAACATTACCGGAACTGACAAAAATACTGAAAAGACTTGTTGTCACTTGATCTCTAAAGATAGCTACCTGATAATAATAGTAATAATAATTATTAGTAGTAAGTAGCTGCAGCAGAAGTAAAAGAAGAAAAGTTAAAGAAAAAATTAATTGAAAAGAAGACGGAGGCGAGAGGTGATGACACTATTTTTCCCGTAATTTATGACATTTTCTCTGGGTCATGCAGACTTACTTTTCAAGTCCGTCGGAAGACGAAAAGAAGGTAGATTGTCAAGTAACGAGGAGGAGGATGTGGTGGGATTTTAGAAGTCCAGTGAAAGGGAAGTCCTTGAGGTGTAACAAACCTAGGAACCCAGTTCGATCCTCACTGATACCATGTTCATATAGTCATCTTGTGTCAGGCTAAGTTTAGAAAATAAACAATAACGAAAAGAAGTCAATGCAGACAAAAATATAAAAAAGCTTAGGCGAATTGACACAAAAATCGAGAGAGTGAGAGAGAATTTCACGTACATCATTGCACTATCTCTCTACCTAGGTTTTACTTTTAAGTTAAAAGTAAAAAACTGAGATTTAAAAGTTTTAACATCTATCTCAGTTTTACTTTTCTATTTCAGTTTCACTTTTTTAAATTTAAAATCTGTCTCAACTCTCAAGTTTACTTTTTTGATCTATCTATAGAGAGAGAAAAAGAAAAATCCATACAGGTGTGTGAAATAGTCTATATATCTATGTACTCATTTTGTTCACCTCTTCTTGACCCATACACCGTACACGTACGTACGCTTGTTTGTGTGTGTATGCGTAAAGGTATGCAATATTTATGGGTAAAAGTGCTCAATATCCGAGACAGAGCGTAAATATAAAAGCGGACACACACACATATATTTGTTTTTATACAGACAGATCATAAAGACAAGAATTATTTAAACATACACGCACTTACTCATCGCTGGGTCTAGATAGATAGATAGATAGAGAGAGAGAGATGCAGATACTCACGCAGGCATATGTAGGGAGTGGGTAGGAATATGTGAATAAAAAGAAGCAGGCATGGGGTCAGAAATCTGATGAACAGGCAGGGTGTGCCTCCCCCTCACTAGAGAATATAGGTCAGTTAAGTCTCGTAAGTACTCATGTTAATTGCGGTAGGAAAAAAAAAAAGACAAAAAAGAGGAAATGAGCCGAGTTTTCGGTGTACGAAAAGCATCGGGGTGGGGGGACACAGAAAAAGATGCGGGCGGGGGTGGGTGTTGATTGCATCAAAGAAAAAGAAAGGAAAAAAAATCACAAAGAAAAAAACAATAGAGACTGAAGAGATTATGTGATACCACGTAATTATTACATTTTTTTTTTATCAGTGCACAAATATAGAGCCTGCAAAAGGCTAGAAGACTGTGTTGCTCCAATATTTCAAGTATGAAGACAAGAGCTGCCGTATAAGTCGAATATTTAAAATATAACCAATCATTTCTGGTAAATAGATAATGTATGAGAGAAAGAGATGCAGCGTGGGGATCGCGCATGAATTGATTGCAATGAAAATGGAAAGATTCTCTCTGCCAAAATTTTCCCCGCCAGAATAAAAAATTTCAATATGTATGTCTGGTTCAAGCCGGTCGTCAGTGTTTTGAGTTGTAGGGGTCGGCCTTTAAGTTAGGTCGGCATCGAATAAGAAATCGTACACTAAAATTTTCACGGGCGGGTGAGAATGATTCTTTTTCGCAACCCCAACCCCCTTGGCGACGGACCTGTCTACCTCGAAAATAAGCATGCGGAATTCCGGCATTTAGCTAGATTCAGACACCCAAGACGTAACAAAGTATTTCAAAGACTTACGTAAACTTAGGTTAGGTGATAGATAAACAGATACGAACATGTGAAAAAAGAGATAGACAGATACGAACATGTGAAAAAAGAGATAGACAGATACGAACATGTGAAAAAGGAGATAGATAGATAGATACGAACATGGGGAAAAAGGAGATAGATAGATACGAACATGGGGAAAAAGGAGATAGATAGATACGAACATGGGGAAAAAGGAGATAGATAGATAGATACGAACATGGGAAAAAGGAGATAGATAGATAGATAGATACGAACATGTGAAAAAGGAGATAGATAGATACGAACATGGGGAAAGAGTAGATAGATAGATAGATAGATATAACATGTGAACATGGGATAGATAGATAGATACGAACATGTGAAAAAGGAGATAGATAGATAGATAGATACGAACATGTGAAAAAGGAGATAGATAGATAGATAGATAGATACGAACATGTGAAAAGGAGATAGATAGATACGAAGAACATGTGAAAAGGAGATATAGATAGATAGATAGAACATGGGAAAAAGGAGATAGAAGATAGAACATAGATAGATAGATAGATACGAACATGGGGAAAAAGATAGATAGATAGATAGATAGAAAGAATAGATGGGGAAAGATAGATAGATAGATAGATACGAACATGATAGAAGATAGATAGATAGAGACGAACATGGGGAAAAAGGAGATAGATAGATAGACATGATAGAAAAAAGATAGATAGATACGAACATGGGGAAAAAGGAGATAGATAGATACGAAGATAGGGAGATAGGATAGATAGATAGATACGAAGATGGGATAAAAGGAGAAAGATAGATAGATAGATAGATACGAACATGTGAAAAGGGATAGATAGATAAACATGGGGAAAGATAGATAGATAGATAGATAGATACGAACATGAATGAAAAGGAGATAGATAGATAGATACGAACATGGGGAAAGATAGATAGATAGATAGATAGATGCAGATAGATAGATAAAAAGGAGATAGATAGATAGATACGAACATGAAAAAGGAGATAGATAGATAGATAGATATGTGAAAAAGATAGATAGATAGATAGAAGAAAGATAGATAGATAGATAGAAGATAGATGATTTTGAACATGGGAAAAATAGATAGATAGATAGATGGGGAAAAGGAGATAGATAGATAGATACGATAGAAAAAGATAGATAGATAGATACGAACATGGGAAAATGGAGATAGATAGATAGATAGATAGATAGAGATAGATGGGAAAGAAAAAGGAGATAGATAGATAGATAGAATGAACATGGGAAAAGATAGATAGATAGATAGATAGATAGATAGATAGATGGGAACATGTGAGATAGATAGATAGATAGATACGAACAGAAAAAAGGAGATAGATAGATAGATACGAACATGGAAAAAGGAGATAGATAGATGAAAGATATATGGGAAGATAGATAGATAGATAGATACGAAATGGGAAAAATAGATAGATAGATAGATACGAACATGGGAAAAAGGAGATAGATAGATAGATAGATACGAACAGATAGAAAAGGAGATAGATAGATAGATACGAACATGTGAAAAAGGAGATAGATAGATAGATAGAACATGGGAAAAGGAGATAGATAGATA